CCGTCTCTACTAAAAATACAAAATTAGCCTGTGGCTCATGCCTGTAATCCCAGCTACTCGGGAGGCTGAGGCAGGAGAATCACTTGAACCCGGTAGACGGAGGTTGCGGTGAGCCGAGATCGCGCCATTGCACTCCAGCCTGCGCAACAAGAGTGAAACTCCATCTCAAAAAAATAAAAATAAATAAATAAATAAATAATAAGGCAAAAGGCAAAGCACAGTGCCAAGTCCGTTGCTGTTTCTCTTTGTTACAGATGTAAGCACTGAAAATTCTTGCTCACCTTTTTTAAAATGGAAGTATTGTTACAGAAGTTAATTTAGTACTTGTACGCCTTCTGAGTTATATGCCAAAAAGTTAATGAATAGTCTTTATTTTTTATTTATCTACCACTTGAAAACTTGAATAGGCCCTATAATTTGGTTGATAGCAGAGACCCTCTCCTACTGCAAAAGGATGTTTTCCCCAGGCATTAAAGTCAGTTTTTGTTTTGACATAGAACTTTCAACACTGGGAATTATCACTTTATTTGACAGCCATTTATTTGGGTGAGAGGGAGACTTCCTTTTCTAATTTGCAAGAAGAGTGCTTATAAATGTGAATGTGGGAAAGATAAATTCCATGATCCCAGGTGCGCTCTCAGGTAGAGCAATTTTAGGAATAAGGATATTTAAATTGAACTTCTGGAGATTACCAAAAAACTACCTGTTTCCAAGTAAATTCCTTAGACAACTTCAAGTAACCCAGCTGTACTCAGCCCTCCTTTTAGAGATGATTGACTGATCTACACACCGTTTACTTATTCACCTAAGCCGGGTCATGAATCCTTTCTCCATAACTTATTTTTTCTCTTTAATATCTTTGCAATGTGTTCACTTCCTGCATGCATATATTGTTTCAGATACCCCTTGTTGCACAAGTAGATTACTATGACTCTTAACCTTCCCATTTTCATTTTCCTTTTTTTTTTTTTTTAAAGACAGGCTCTTGCTCTGTCACCAAGGCTGTGCAGTGGTGCCATCACAGCTCACTGCAGCCTCTACCCCCTGCCAGGCTCAAGCAATTCTCCCACCCCAGCCTCCTGAGTAGTGGGGACTACAGGCATATGCCACCATGCCTGAATAACTTAAAAACTTTTTTTTTTTTTTTTTTTTAAGAGATGAGGTCTCACTATGTTGCCCAGGCTGGACTCAAATTCCTGGGCTCAAGCAATCCTCCTGCCTTGGTCTCTAAAAGTGCTGGGATTATAGGAACCATCCTGTTTTCTAATCAAACTTTGACATTGCTGCCTCGATACTATTCTTAAAATAGAAATTTGATTCATGACACTTTACTGTCCAAAATCCTTCAGGGGGCTCCCTCGTGGATTTCAGGAGAAACTATAGAATCTTCAGCGGTATACAGAGAGCCCTTCACCATTTTACCTCTGCTTACCTCCCAAATTCATGTCTTTCCTCTGCCACTACTGCCAGCCCTTTTCCTACTCTCCACATACAAACACCCAGGAACCCTGTGTTCTAGTCACACCCAAACATCTGCAGCCTGTTAATTCTTATATTCCTAGAACTTCTCACAGGCTCTTTCCTCTGTGAGAGGAACACTCTCTCCAAAACTTGTAGTATGGCTTCCTCCACTTGAGGGGTGAGACTTGATGTCACTGTTTCCAATAAGCATTTCTTGGTCATACTAACATAGGATTATGTGCCCTTTCTCTGTACTTCTCAGAGAAACAGCACCCCTTGGCTAGCACTATCTGTATGCACTAATTTAGCTCTGTACATATGATTTTCACATGGTACTTTAATATCCAAGTATTGACCAGCCTTTCCTTTTAGACTATAAACTGTTGGAGCTGGAGCTAGGTCATGTCTTACTCCCTTCGTATCTGTGATCTCGAGCACAAACTTGACACATACTAGGTGCTCATCAAATGTTTGCTGAATGAATGAATCACTTTATCAACCACAAATACTACAGAAATGTGGGTTTGTCCAATCATCTCTACTTTTGGTGTAAATTAACTATGCCTTATGAATACAAATGCAGGGCCCGCTCCTCCTCCCTAAAACTACCTATTGCTGTTGTTTCCTCTGAATGCCATTCTACTTGGTCCTCATATGCCTCTGATATGCAGACTTTATTAAGTTCCCACACTATTGGTCCTGCTCTTCATCCAAGAATATGACTGGCAAGTATTTAACCACATTTCTCCTCACTAATTTTCAGGGTTATTTAAAAATGTCTTTGAAAGCTTTTTGTCCCTGTGTTCAATTTTAAGTTTTATTCTACTCGATACTATGGAATATAATAAAGGGCAGATTTTTTTTAAGGAATAGATGAATAGAACATTGCCTTATTTATGTTTTGGAAGAAATTGGCAATTGTCCAACTAACTCTAACCAAAGTGTTATGATTCATGGACAAAATGCTGTGGACATGTAGAAGGGAAGGCTTACTGCAATAGTATAACAGACATGAAATCTGTAGTGGGTAATATTTGGGAAAATAACTACAAATCAAGTCTGTTCATTTCCGATTGATATCTTAAAAAAGGACATTATATTCTGTTTCTTATCCCCAACTCCCATTGTTTTGTATTAAATAAAACATTCATCTTTATCCTCTTATGAGGAAAAATATATTAAAATTAAAAGTTGTAGACGCACACAAAAAAATCATATGGCTGCAAATCAGTGAAAGCAAGTGTTCTAATTATTGACTGATTAAAGATAGGCATTGAATCATATTATTCTGTTTATCCCCTCAATAGAATAGAAGTTTCATGAGGGCAGAGCCTTTATCATGTTTACTGTTATATCCCCAATATTTACAGAAGTGCTAAGATACAATATAATCGGGAGTAAATATATTTTTGAATGAATGTATAAATGAATACCATAGACAGTGCTAGCAAAGAGCTGCTACTTTTTCAATTCAGATGAATTTGGAATTGTTTTCTTTAATAGATGGAAATACCGATGAGTACTTTGCTATAAATGAGATGTCAGGAGAACTCTCAACCACTCGTGCTTTGGACCGGGAACAAGTCAGCAATTTTACCCTTGCCATTCTGTGCTCTGACCTGGGAGATCCGCCTAGGAGCTCTGTAATACACCTGCAAGTTAGAGTTTTGGATGCCAATGACCACACTCCTTCTTTTCCCACACTTTATTACCAGTTCTCTGTGAGAGAAGATGCTGAAGTGGGAACAGTGGTTTTTGTGCTTTCAGCTGTGGACAAGGATGAAGGCCTGAATGGGCAAACTGAGTATTTTCTGACTGATGAGGCTTCTGGTGCATTCACCATTGATCCTATGTCAGGCACATTGAGAACCAGCAACGCCCTCGACCGTGAAGCCAGATCTCAGCATACATTTAGTGCTGTGGCCAGAGACTGTAGCATCCAGGGTTCACGAAGCACTACTGTAATTATAAAAGTATGTGTCACTGATGTTAATGACAATGATCCAGTTTTGGAACAAAACCCTTTTGATGTGTTTCTTTCCCCCCAGTCGCCTACAAACCAGACGACTGTCATTGTGAGAGCCGATGACCCAGACTTGGGGCCCAACGGAACTGTGGTTTTTAGTTTTGCAGAGACTCAGTCAATGTTTTCTATTGATAAACATACAGGAGAAATTCAATTTCAGCAAAATCCATCTTCAGAATACTTCCCTATCTGGCTGCAGTTAAAAGTTACAGACCAGGGTGTTCCAGCCAGGACAACCACAGGTCTCTTGGTCATCCACATGGAAGGAGAAGATGTAAAGATTTCCTTCAGCCACCATCTGTATAAAGGGCTCGTGACTGAAAATTGTGAGGCAGGTGAGTGTCCCTTCAAGTTTTTCATATATTGTACTTGTTTTGGCAAAATGCTTAAGAGTATGGATTATACTACAAGAGTGCCACTGTGCATTCAGTTATACATTTTTTGGTTCAATGCCTATTCTTGATATTGGAATAAACGTGGTTAAGAGGAACCTGGTCTGAGATGAAATGTCAGGGCAGAAGACAGTGAGGACCAAATTCCTTCTGACCTCTAAAGGAGGGCCCTCCCATTAAAGATTCAGTTAGAAAAGCTAATAAATAAATGGATGGGGAGCCTTTAATCTCATATTCTTACTGTGTTTTCTTGACCTCTTGTCAGAGTTGTTGGTAGTTCCCTTATGTTTGGAATTGCTTAATTAAATTTAGCTTTTATCTTTTTAATAGAACTTACTCTAAAAATTTCTTTATTAAATATCACACATAAAAAACGCTAGAAATACTTCTGGAAATAATATAAGCATGTATCCATAAATATCCAGGTAGGTGTATATGTCAAGACATCTGAAGCAATAGATTGGGACCTCTCTTGGAAGAGCAAATATAACATGTGTGAAGGGCATAAGTCTGAATTTAGAGGTGAGCTAAAAGTTGCAAGTGTAACAGGAAAGAGAAAGGCCAAAGGAAAGGATGACAGTTAAGGAGGCTGTTGAAACTGACTAGATGTAATTAATCTACACCTGGGTCAGCAGGGTTTCTTGGGCCCCTGTGAAAAACAATGACAACATCATAAAATATTGATTGACATTTCAAGCTGGCTGATGCTTTGCTTGGAACATGAACTCAATACAAACTGCCAGATCATATTTTAGACACCAGAAGATTATTTATCCTCGTTTGTTCAATTTTTTGCTTTCAAATTCCCAAATTCTAGTGGTTTTAAAAGATTGTAAATCTACCTACCAGTGTTAGAATAGCCTTGATATCAATTATTTAATAACATTTTATAGCTGCCAGCATTATTTTCTCCCCAAATACGCCTGCAATTTTAACCTTTATTTTCAACTGAAAAATACATGCCTATCAGAAGCTTAAGTTTTCGGTGGGCCACTCACACATTTGATCTATGAGTAGGCACCACTTGGCATCCTGAGTGAATTATTTTTGGTATTATCATAAATTTTCATCACTCCAAACTACTTTTAACATTTTCTTATTCTTTTAAGAAAACAAAAAATTAAAAGTTAAAACAAATAACTCCAATGTATTGCTATTTGTTTAACATTTCTTTGTTGGAAAGCCCACAGGTTCAGCTTTTGATTAATGTTGCATTCATCTATTAACAATATTAAACTTAGCACCTCAATTGTTTAAAATAATGTAGAGTTTCTATTTTAAAATATTAGCCTTTTGGTTGATAAAATTTCTTTAAGAGTCAGTCATGAAATGTTCACTTCATCATAGGAAGAGGCACTCTCAGAATTTCTGGTAAGACACAGACTGGCCCCACAGCAGCGTGACAAGAAAAGTTAACATCCAAGTGACTCCCTACTCTTTACTGTGAATGCCCCCCTCCTGACTACGCCCTTCCCCTGCATTTCCAAGCCAGATTAGAGAGAGAGAATGTAACTGTTCTGAATCTCTTAAAAGTTAAGGATAAACCACTTGGTTGCCCACGATGTTTCACTGCACTAAACAATTTAAATGAATCTCCTAGAAACCAGCCCTTATTTCTTTGGTTTCATTTCCAGTGCTTTCGCTGTCATGATAAGAATGAGTCAGCAACCATAGTCCATGATGTGGACTGTTCACAACTTTATGCATTTCATTGAATTGCCAGGAGGGGAGAAATTGAAATTATGAATGATATTGATACCCCACTTAAAAGTAAATACTCAGACCTTGAAAATGAAATAAAATTAAAACCTGATGACACATGGGTGCACTCTCACTACTAAAATGTATTCAGTATTGTACAATACATAAATTAGATCTTGATGTTTTGGATGAAAAACCCTTTTTCCAGCTCTTTGGCAGTTGATCTGTTGAATTCAGGCTCCACTCTTGGTAAGGCTGGGCACATGTGTATTAGAGTGTGAAACTCGTGACACTAGTTAGTGTAGCTGAGTGGGTCCGCCTCTGTCATGGCTCTACTGGGCATATTCTCTTTGATGACTTTCTTACAGGGATACTGTAAAGATTAAATCAAGTTTTAAGAGGATACTAGTCATTGCTTTCTTTGGTTGCTATTTTTGTCATCTTCCTGTCCGATATCTAAAGTTAGCTGGGTATAAATTCTCACCAGAGCAAACAGTTGTTACACAACAATTATATTACAACAATGAACTACTTGTGGTTGTTAGGGGCCTACAGTATGTCTTACTTTGTCTTCAAACCAGATAAGAATGATACTTTCCAAGAATGAATTATGATGAATTTCTCCATAAACACAGTGTTATTCTCAGCTTTGGAACATATGAATGTTTCCACATATGAATTCCTATGATAATGAAAAAGGGAAGCAAGTGTTAATCTGTGATTCCTATTTTGTTATTTAGGGACAGTCTCATATTTTGGTATAAATTCATTGTATTGAGCATTATCTAACTAGCCATATACAATGGTATGGAATTTAATCACTTTACTTATGACTCCAAGATGGCTCTGGAGGAGAAAGAGAAACGTCTTATTCTCAGAAAAACGTACATACTTCACAAAGCAGTTTTTATCTTTGCAAATTCACCCAAGTCCCACATCTGGCCCTCAGCCAGACAGACACCAGACCTTATTTGATTAACTCACCAAGGAGTTCCTTTCCCCAGGAATGGGAACTTATTCATCAATATGGAAGAGATTGATATATACACCATGCCAGTTTTGTTATTTATTTGGTGAGCTGTGATTGTTATGTAGATTACAATAGGCATATTGGAATGACCAGTTTTCCCTTTCTAGGAATAAAAGACACAAGAAGCCAAGTTGTAATCAGAAAGTTACTTGCTAATCCTCAATAATTAGGAGCAGGATGTCATTCAAGTGTTGAGTATCATCAGCCTACATTACTCTTTCCTCAGACAGAGTTTACATAGCACTGCCAAGTTAGATTTTATGATGCCTTCATTGACTGTCTGGGCTCCCATTACTCACCAGTTTCCTTTTGATTTACACATTCCTTGTTGGTATCTTAACACCTCTGTCAAGGCTTCAGCCCTGGAAGCCACTTATGATTTTTTATGAGGATTTTGCATAACTCTGCTCTAAACTGTTCTGCTTCATTTATAAACATAAAAGGGTTAATATTTTGGAACCATATTAATACTTTTTTCTGTTACTTATCTGTGGATAAGACCTTCCACCTATTCTACATAACACATCCATTTGCTGTGGATAGCGTTAGGATTGCTATAGTGGGAGTACAAAAAGAGGATAGTCTGCCTTTGATAAACAAAATAGGGAGTGGGGGTCATAAAAAATATTAGATCAAGCATCAACAAAATCAACTAATTTTGTGTGCATGTCAGCTGTACTGTTTAAAACTGTAACTCTGCTTCATACATCTTTAACTCTTGAAGGACACTCATCAGTATTCCTGAGGATGCCCCTCATGGGTTTTCTCCTTCCCCAACACGCTTCCTATTAAATGTTGACTATATACTTGGTATGTTATACACAATATTCAATTTTAAGGGGCCTTGAACATCTATTCATTTAGTCTTTTAAAAGGTGGTTTTGATAATCAAATGAGCACTTGTAATCTCTAAAGCATTTCGCCATCACCATTACCAGCAGTTGTAAGTCTAAGATATGAAGAAGAAAGTGCAGCCAGACCCTGTGGATAGCAGAGCCAGGGGATGTTTGCTCCTAGTGGGTATTCCCCAAATGTTTATTGATACCATTTTACCATTTAATCATTACTTCTAAGATAACAAAAGGCATATATATGCACAAATGAAAAAAAAAGAAAGAAAGAAAAAAACTCTTGGGGTGAGAGGGAAGGGTGGGGGAGATAGTTGTGCCAGGCAGTGGAAATATCATGCACAAAGCTTGGGGCCTCCAGAGGGTGTGGTGAGTTGACCTTGGGACCAACCGTTTCATCTGGAATCGCTAGAGAGCAGCGTGCACAGAGGCTCATGTGGTTTCCAGCGATAACTTGGGAGAGAGAGACATTGATGGCCTTTCAATTACCAATATCAACATTGACATTGTAGAGATCTCACTTTGGAAGCTGTGTGGAGGGTAGCCTGGAGGAGAGAGATGAGTTAGGAGGATACTGTGGTGATTTACGTGCTAGTGACCCAGGCCTGAAGAAAGCCACAGCAGTGAAGGATGACAAGAGGGAATGTGCTTCTCAAGTGTTACCAAGGCAACCTCAATGAGGCCTGGGGGTTATTTATACCTGAGGTTCTCAACCAGGACTACACAGAGAGATACCAGAGGAGCTTTAAAAAATTACTAATACCAGCCGGGTGCAGTGGCTCATGCCTGTAATCCCAGCACTTTGGGAGGTGGGGGTGGGTGGATCACCTGAGCTCAGAAGTTTGAGACCAGCCTGACCAACATGGAGAAACCCTATCTCTACTAAAAATACAAATAATTAGCCAGGCATGGTGACACATGCCTGTAATCCCGGCTACTCAGGAAGCTGAGGCAGGAGAATCGCATGAACCTGGGAGGTGGAGGTTGCAGTGAGCCAAGATTGCGCCATTGCACTCCAGCCTGGGCAACAAGAGTGAAATTCCATCTCAGAAAAAAGAAAAAAAAGAAAAAATTCTAATACCTGGACATCCACCCCTTTCCTGCATGCAGTTAAATGGTAATCGTTGACGGTAGACCACACATTGTTTATTTGTAGAAGCTCCCATGCGATTCCAATGTACAACCAAGGGTGAAGGTAGAGGGAGGCCTGAGAAGAAAATCTAACGCAATGTCAATATTTTACAGGAGTTGATGAAATAATGTATCTAAAAAGGAGATTGAGATGGAGGGCTAGGGTGGTAGTGACAATATCCAGGAGGATGGTGTTAGAGAAACAAGAAAGTGGCACATTTAAGAAATGGGGC